ATCTCTTTGTCCCACAAGAGGGAATTATTGTCACACCTTAGGAATGATTAAAAACACATAACAATAATGCAACAGGACATTAAAAGCACAAAAGAATCTGGAGGGTTCTTTTTTCCTTTATCATTTATAGGGGTTCCAAACTCTAAAATACAAGAGCAGAATAAGCTTCAAACATTAGCAGGTCTTGCTACCTTGTAGTAATCTAGACTTCTTTGTAAAGCCGGGAGTTAGCATAATTAGCCAACTACATTTCTACAAAGAGGTTACAGGTAATGAGAATTAAAGCCCTGTTCAGGACTGACACATCCACTGCAGTGGAGTCCATCCTGAATGCTGCTGTATCAGACATTAGCTTCACGTGAGCAGCTCTCCTGTTTTTGTTGCATTTGGAGATGTTTAAGATGGAGCCAAACTCATCAGGTAGATCTCATCCTTAAAGTGAAACAAATGGCTTGAACATTCATTTTTTTCTTACAGTACTCTACTATATGAACTAACTAACGTCTGCAAGTCCATACTTTCCCATCATTTCCTTCCCTCCCACATGACATGAACGTGGCATTAGCCTCAGTCCTTTTTGCGTCATAACACATGGGTGGGTTAGCATGATATCGTTTATATAGCCATCAAATTCAAATGCTGCTTCTTTTATTGCTAGCTGGAAAGTGAAGATATTAAATGTTGAGCTCAGAACAGAAGTTTTCAACCAGCTTGCTGGGTTAATGTTTAGCTAGCAAGCTACAGCAGCTAAGAGCTGCTGATGACAGCCGTCGTTTTAGCATCAACATCAGTGCTGATCAGCTGGAAATGAAAAGCTGCTCTTGTCCACATCTGCCTGAAATCAATGGCCCATTATTTAAAATATCAGTGTTTTGATTAATAAATCTGCCAGCTTTATATAGGCTTGATAACAGTAACTGGGGGGGGGGGGGGGTCTTCTTGAATTTTTTAGCTGCTGCTCACAAGTGAGCCACCGGAACTGGCCCAGTTGATTGGTGCTACACATTAGATTCCATGACAACAAACTGATGAAGATTATTTCTGTGACAGATTAGAATTGAACTTCAACTCAAATCCAGTTTTTATACTAACATCCATGTGTTTGTGTGTGCAGACAGCAGTAAAGCTGACATGCCTATGATGTGGATCTTCCCTTATTTCTTTGAGCCCCGCATCCTGGAGTGCCTCCCCTCACTCAGCATGCTGGACTACCAGGTAAACTGGCAGAACATCAGCTTCTTCTCATGACTGGTTACGAGGATTTGCACCTTGATTCAGGTTTACCCTCAGGAAACCCTCTCTCTGTAGGTTTTACTGTAATGCACATCAGCAGTATTGCATATTGTTTAGTGTTCTTATAACCAAAAGAATAACTGGTTCTTGGGGATGTCATATAGCAATAGTGTGGTGGATTCATGCACCAATGCTTTATCAATATTTCATTATTTATTGTAGAAGCTTTTCTGAACAGAGCTGCAGACCGCCACCTATTTGCTATAAAGAGGTTTTCTGTTATAATTATTAATACATAATATGTATAAACCATGTCCAGCCCACCTGCCTGCAGCAGAGCTGCAGCACAGAGACTCATGCCAGAGATCCAGACAACAGCCTGACTCTAGCTGTGATTAGTAACTCCAGGTTTCGTCTCTGTGGACTATAAACAATAAAGTCAATATTTGGTTGTTTCTAACCAGGTGGACTATGACAACCACCCTCTGTATAAACATGGGAAGACGGGCAGGAAGCAGTCTCCTGTCAGACTGTTCACTAACATCTGCCCCGGAGATGTTGTCCTGCCCAGAGAGGAGGGCTACAGGTATCCACACTCACTCTGTCCTGTCAGCTCTAAACAGGAGCCTGATTGAGTACCAGTGTATTGTAAAAGTCAACTGATGCGTAACAAGGAGTATCATCGCAGAAATGCCAAAAACAATTGTTTGAGGTTTGATAGAAACAGTGTCCACCACAGAGCACTGGCAGCTTGATTTTGACACTGGATATCACTGTTATGAATACAACATGTCAGTTTGGAGGTTGGATACTGAGCCCTCAGGACTGTGCAGTTCATATAATCTGTATCTTTCCTTCTTCCGCAGGTTTTGCTCTGTATGTCGGAGATACGTCTCGGGCCTCAACAAGCACTGTGCTAAATGCAACGTCTGTCCGTCCAAGGTATAACACCATGTTTACATACGTATGTTGCTTACTCAATCACAGGCGGTCTCTTAAATGTACACATACTGTGGGCTTCAACATTTCTTTGTGTCTTCAGGATGGTCGTGAATGGAAGCACTGCTCAACATGTGAAAAATGTGTGAAACCATGTATGTAAATTTATACGAAAGATGCACATTGATTCAAGTCCTCACATCACGACTTTACCTTTTTGTCTTGTATTAATGTGTGCATATTTATTTTTTTCCCTCTAAGCGTGGAAGCACTGTCAAACCTGTGGTCGCTGTGCCCTCCCAGACCACCCATGTGGCCAGGGCCAAGGAAAGGAGGGTTGTTTCACCTGTGGAAGCCTGAAGCACAAACACAAAGCCTGCCCTCTTAAAGACTCACACAGGATGAGCAGGTGAATAGGAACAGTTGAGGGGTAAACCGGTTCTGTCGATCTCTATGTAAAACATGAAACATTTGCACGTCTTAACCTGTTCCTTTGTGTCTGTGTGTTTTCCCCTCCAGTTATCGGTCTAATGCCAAGAGTAGAGGCAAAAGTCCATCCCATCATCCCCTCTACAAGCCTAAAGCTAAAAAGAAGTCTGGAGCAGCGCGCAGAGCGAAGAAGATGGCTGCTCAGTCTATGTGACCTCAGCAGTCATGCAGTGTCTTGTCAGCTATGCATTCAGAAGCTATGAGTTCTGAAAGGAGCTGACAGTCTGTGACATGGAGATAACAGTATTTTTATTTTCACTCTAAACATCCTCTTTGTAGCAGACATGTTTGAATTAAAGTTAAAAAGAATAGGGCTGCACATTATGCAAAAAAAAAAATTATGATTATTTTGACAGACATTGTGAAATGCATTATCAGTGGGTTCTTTTTGCATTTCATGTATACAGAATTTTTGATTTAAAGGGACTTTTGTTGGTCTTGTACCAAACAAACATGCTCCTTTATGTCTGGAGAATATGATTTGTCGACCGGTCGCACCACAACACTTGTGGTACTAACAACGCACAACAATGTTGTTACACATTTTACCTTTATCAAAGAGATTGTGAATCTTGCGATTTGGATTTTTGCAGCTCCTGCGATTTGGATATTGCACTTGCCATATTGCAATTTCAATTATATTTCGATTAACTGTGCAGCCCTAGTAAAAAAAAATACAATTAAAGCTGCATTAATTGATTTTTGGCCACATGAGAGCAGTGAAACAAGCTGAAAGCACATGCAATATATAATGGCTTCATGAAGTTGTTGAAGCCAACATGTTAGAGTACAGTGGCCTGTTTACACTTTCAGCAGACAGAGGGGAACACCAGAAATCATTTAAATGTTGGCCTCTTTTAGCTCATTGTTTTAGGGCCTGCATTTTTGATGTTTTGGTGTAGTCTCATCTCTTCTGTGAAAAAAATCTTTGATAATCCCTGCTCAGCAGCAAGCAGCAGACAGAGTTAGAAACCAGGTGGTGAACATTGTGGAGTATTTAATGGCTAAAGAGTTGGTGGAAACAGGACTGAGAGGAGAGTGAACGTTTGAGAAACACTGTAACAGCTAATGGGAATTCTATTAAACAATAAAAGACAAGAAGCCTTGTTGATTCTGCACATACTGTTGTAGCGTGGTGGATGCGAGTCTTCAGCAAGTCTGCGAAGGCTTAAGTATATTAGTGAAGTCTCCAATTAAGTAAGTGAATAAGGTCCATCATTTTCTAAACACAGTTTTAATGATCTTAGTATTTCATCATTGTTGGCTGTTTGACAGCTTCTTCCTGTAACCTCTGTGTGCGCGCGTGTGTGTGTGTGCGCACGCATGTGTGAGCGTGCGTGCATGTGTGTGTGTGCACGCATGTGTGAGCGTGCATGTGTGTGTGTGTGTGTGCATGCGCGTGTGTGTGTGTACTAATTTTGTCTCTGTGCCAGCATCATAACCTGCAAGATACAGATACAAAACTTCACAGGTATGTAGTTGAGATATGAGCCAAAAAAAAGATGCAGTGTTGTTAGATGATTTTGCTTTGGTCACCTGATGGCAGTATTGTTAAAGTTTACTTTGCTGCCTCATTATCTCCCATGATAGTGATGAAGTTTGCCAGAAGGTTGATTTTAGTGGTTATTTTTCCCTGGGAGCGTCCATGTCAGTGCAGGCTGTGTTGATATTACAACAGTTAACGTCCAAAGTGAAGCAGACATTGGTTTCCTCTCAGTGTGACAGCTCCACAGTGCATGTCCACACACACACACACACACACACACAGTGTATGATATCTTCCAGTGAAACAGTGGGTGTCTTATAAAGTAGATAGATGGGTATACAGTACATCCTGCCAGAATCATGTGCTGTATATGTTAAAGGTGATGATGAAAAGATAGATTCATCCTGAGTAACACACACATACACAACCTCTTTCAGTGATGTTTACCTAGTCTGAATGGTGAAGGCAACCAGACACAGGAACACTTACCCCTCTCTGTGGATATATATATACTGTGACTGATTTTACACTTTTATTTTGAAGACCACATCAGCTCTTGCTGGTATGTTGTTGTCTTATGCTGCTTGTCTTTGAAACCTTTAGCGTAGTATATACATTTACATATTGAAAGTCACTTGGTAAAAATGTGTAGCTTCTCATACATGTTATTGCATTTTGAAGGGTATCTTTACAGAGTAACAAAGTTCTGTTTGCGTTGGGATGTTAGATGCTGTAACTTCCCAAAGTGTCAAACTATTTTTAAGGGTTTTTGTAGTGTTTACACCCATGTTGGATGAATATTTTTAGCCCATTGGGAACTGTGTATGAAATGGCTACAACTTCTACATGGTTGATTAGATTAGAACACCCTCACAATGGAGTATAAAATCAGTATAATACTGTCCTAGTAAGTCGACATATGATCTCGACATCTGCAGTTGATTGTGGGCCATTTTGAAGTGTCGTCTATTGAGTGTCTGACCATATTGTATGATCAAAACCAATATGTCGCAGCAACGTAAAATTGATGTAATCTCAGTAATCCTGCCTAAGAAACAAAAGAGAAAAAGATGGAGGCTCATCCCATGAGACTAAGAGTTAATCTGTCTAATTAGGCAATCAGAGTTATCCATCCATCCATCCATCCATCCATCCATTTTTTTCCGCTTATCCAAGGTTGGGGTGCTTTGGCAGCATTTCAGGCAAAGTAGTCCAGAGTCCCTCTTCCCAGCAACATTTTTCAGCTCCTCCTGGGGGCTCCTGAGGCGTTCCCAGGCCAGATGAGATATATATCTCTCCTACCAGTTGGACATGCCCAGAAGACCTCCAATGGAAAGCTCCAAGGAGGATCCTGATCAGATGCCCCAACGACCTCAACTGGCTCCTCTCAATGTGAAGGAGCAGTGGCTCTACTCCGAGCTCCCTCCAGATGCCAGAGCTCCTCACACTCTCTCTAAGGCTGATCCCATCTTACCCTGCAGAGGAAACTCATTTCAGCCGCTTGTATCCAGAATTTCATTCTTTCAGTCACTACTCAAAGCTCACGAGAAAGGGCATAGGTTTGCATATGGATGGTAGGGACATGTCCTTACTAATACTTTAGGATAGAAAGCCAGAATTGTCCCTAGCCAAGAGTTGGTCCACTGTTCCACAGCCAGGATAGATTGCTCCTCTTCAATCCAAGGTTCAACAATTGATGGGAGCCTCCTTTCCGGAACCTTGGCATAAGCTTTCCCCAGAAGGGTGAGCAGTGTGATAACCTGATAATTCGAGCACACCCTCCACTCCCCTTTTTTTTATATATGAGAACCACCACACCATTCTGCCAGTCTACAGGCACTGTCCTCAACCTCCATATGACACTGAAGAGGACAACAAGACAGCCATACAATGTCCAGACACCTTCAACATCTCTGGCCGAATCTCATCCATTCCTGGTGCATTGCTGTTGAGGAGTTTCTTGACTACCTCAGTGACTTCTACCAAGGATATGGGCAAGGTTTCCCCTGAATCATCAGACTCTGCCTCCTCCTCAGAGGACATGCTGGTTGGGTTCAGGAGTTCTTCAAAGTGGTCCCTCCACCGGCCGACGATATCCCCAGAGGTAGCTGTTGTCCTCCCCTGCTGAAAACAGCCTGGTGTAAGCCCTGCTTCTCCCTCTGAGATGCTGTTTGGGTTGCCAGAACCTCCTTGAGGCCAACTGAAAGTTCTTTTTCCATGGCCTCCCTGAACTCCTGCCACACCCAGGTTTTAGCATCCACGACCACCGCAGCCGCTTTGGCCTGAAGGTAGTTCCCCGTGCTAGCCAGGCCCAAAAAGCCTTCTTCAGCTTAACGGTTTCCCTCACCACCGGTGTCCAACAGCGGGTTCTCGTGTTGCCGCCACGACTGGCACCAGCGACCGTTTGGCCACAACTCCTGGCAGCCGTGTCCAAAATTGAGGCCCACTTGGATTCCACATTCAACCTCCCTGCGATCTCACTGCACCAGCCTGTCTGTGTGTCTGCGTTTGGGTGGTCCAGGTCTGTGCTGTTATCGGCAACATTGACAATTGTTGAGGTGAGAGTTGCCTAAACCAATCACCGTAACTTGATTCTACTAACAAGGTGAACACACATTTGCAGGTGTATTTGTATTATTCTATAATAAAGTCATAATTTCTAAGCATGGAAGAGATTATTTCATAGATGTGTCATAGCCATTGACTGCACATTTTACACAGAGAGGAACATATTCGTGAATGGCCTGATCCCTGTCTGTCATACCAGCTAGATCAACACTGAAAATATCCTGGAAAATGGTCTCTAGAAAAGAGTGGGACCCAACTTCAGGTAACTTTTATTTATATAACACCCATTACATCCACCAAAGCCACGTTATAAAGTGAAAATATCGTATGTCACATGCTGTGTTTCTGCTGGCCAAAAAATTCTATTAATGTGAAACAGCTTTGAGTGCTTGCAAACTTATGCAAATCAAGAACTCCAGGGAGAATCGAGAGAAAAATAAGACAATAATAAAGAACACCAAGAGAGACAAAAAGAAAAATAAATCGACAAGGAAACAAGAGCAGGAAATTCAGGCAGAAAGGGGTGAAAGGCCAGCAGAGCGTTTAAAGAAGCTGAGCACTGATGTGTGATTCAAATGCTAAGCAGGCAGAGAAAGATCCGTATCTGTCAGTCTTCCTCCCTATGAAATGGAAATGAGCATGGAAAGATGGAGAATGGGGGGAAAAAATCTAATTAGATACAAGATAAAATGTGGAAGAATGGATCTTTTTTTTTTTTTCTCTGCTCCACTGAATTTTATATAAACCCATCAAAACAGTAGGCCAAAGTGGAATAGTGCAGGTATACAGAATGGAAAGAGAAAGGGCAGGACAGGAGTGGTGGTTATATAGATGAAAGAAGATGTATGATTAACCCACACACACATTAATACTGCATCCCTTCTTTTGCAGCTACATTAATATTCTAGTAATGAGTAAAACAAGTGTAGTGATGAAATAAATCAACAGTCAGAGATTAGTTTTCTCATCATCATATCCTCATGCTGATAGAGTCAAATTAAGCTTTCAAAGATTCTTGTAGAATAAAAACCATAAGCTTGTTGACACATGTGTACACTTAAGTAATATCAAGGCATCAGTTAATTGAAGAACAAAAGGGGAGCCTGTCTGACTATAATTACTCTTTGCACCCATTCAAAAAGTGCAATAATACCAGTTTAGATCCACAAGCTCTACACAACGCTATCTGCTTCTATCTAGTCCACAGAGATTCTCATTGTCTGACTCATGCTAAACAATAATAAAATACCAATATAATACCAATATACCATACATAAACAATTACCCTACCACTCAAACTATCTAGGGGGTGAATATGTCTCTTCACTTACTGTACATACATCTAACATTTGTTCAATAAAACACTATAATTTCTTCATAACATCCACATAAACAGTCAACAGCTGCGATGGGGGCCTTTCTCATCGGAGGGCTCATTGTGTAGACTTCCGCCCGCGCTCAGATTACTGCAATGGCGGCCGTGAACTTTACATTAGCTGCTAACTGGCAAACTTTTACTGTCGACACGGTCATTACTAAACACTTAATGAACAGAACTTAACACAGTGTCGCAGAAGTACAGCGTAAACGTCCAGGATACTTCACTAACATCACCGGCTTAGTCGCCTCACAGCGTCATCTGCTTCTTTCATTGTCTCACCTGCTGACACGAGACGTCCCTGTGATGCTCCCTGAACTTACACTGCTCACGTGGCGATACTGACACCTGCTGACGTTACTGCATAGTAACACTGGTAATGTATACACTGTACCTTTCCGACTAACACTCACCACACTTTTTAGTGGACGCTCAAGGCCGATGGTAAAGAGAGAAAGGCCTGCGAAAGTCACAGAAAAACAGTGCTTAACAATGCTTAGTTAAGTCAACTTTCATTATTATGTTTGCACAACTATTAATTATAAATTGATTCTTCTTCCTCTTGGTTTAATCAACTTTTATTTTCATGTTTGTCCAACTCAAGATATCAGTTTATTGGTTTCATTAGTCTTTCTGTGTTGTCCCCATGAGGACTTAGGTT